TTCAGTGTATCTTCTATCCCTTAAATTATGTTTCAGCCTTGAAGATTTTTCTGTATCAGTGCCTCTCATGTGTGCAAGGCAGTTGAAGTCAGTCTATAATTACTTCTTTTGGGGAGACTAATGACTCTGGCCTTTCTTTATTCTCTCCAGTCCCCATTTCTCTGTCACCTGCCTATCAGCACTCAGATCCTTAATAGGTCCTATTAAACTAATATCTAAAGGTGGATTGAAAAGAAGTACCACCAAAAGATAAAGGACATGAACTGTTGGGAAACTCCAGAAATTTCCTCTTGAAGTTCTCTGTAAGTCTTTTTTATGGCTTTTGTTTGTTTTGTTGTTTACCTCCCCATTCAGCTGAGCCCCAAGAGCCATAGTAGCATTTCACTGAGAATCAGCCCAACTTTTGTTGTAGTTATTAAGGCATTTAATGAATAACTGTAACTTTTTAATATTCCTATTCCTTATTTTCCTCGCTGGCACCAATCCCTGCTCTGTATCTTAAGTATATGAGAAAGATAGCAAAATGAGTTCTTTTCCAATTTTTATCCTCTCATGGACAGTGATAAATGAAGCTATGTCTGTTCCAATGAATAGTAGAATATGAAATCCTGCAAAGCCACGTAGGTTATTAGATAAATATCACAGAGCTCTTATTATGCACTATGACTTAATGTAGATTATATATGTGACCAAACAGTAATTAGGAGAACTGAAGCTATCATTAAACACTATTGTGCTGCTCTGTGATCTCTCCTTAGATTTCTGTTTTAAAATAGAAGGAAACTAGTTCCAAGCCCATAGGTGGATCTTTTCACTTCTCCCTACCCCCAAACATGTCTTTTTGGACCAGGAAGGGGATCTCAACCCTCGGCACGGTGTGGTCTGCACCACACTCATCCAGTGAGCGCACTGGCCATCCCTATATAGGATCTGAATTGCGGCCTCGGCGCTACCAGCACCGCACTCTCCCGAGTGAGCCACAGGGCCAGCCCAACCAAACATGTCTTTTAATTAACTATTTAGTTAAATTATTTAATTAAATTGTCATCTCATACAGACAGAGATCTTCAGCTCAGTAACTCTGATCAGTAAGGGTAGGTTGGTACATACATATTAATCAGCTCCTTATATGTATTAGTCAGTTCTGTTGTTCTTAGTGATCAGTTTAGCTAAAGTTCTCTTCAGATGTTCTATAGCAGGATTTCATTTGGCAGATTGCTCCAATGCAACATTGATGTTTCCAACTTAATCTTAGATAATGTTTTCTGGATTTCTCAGTGCAGAATTGGGTACTTGGCTTTATCTAGAACATAGCAGCATATCTTCCTCCTGGCCTCCCAGGAGCACTGAATAATCTAACAGGAAATGAAACCCCTTCCAGAAAAAAGCTGTCCTTGATGGCTGAATGTGTGTGTGTGTGTGTGTGTAGGTAGGTAGGTAGGTGGGTGGGTAGGTGTCTCCCTGGAGACTTACCTCCTTCTGTGCCTTGGTTGGCTGCATGATCTGTGGAACAGACTGGCAACATGACATGTGCAAGCAAGACAACCAGAAAGTTCAAAAGAGTGATCTAGAAGGTTAAGCCAATCTCTATGTCCGAGAAAGAGGACCATGCAGAAATTTCTCTTGCTTGTAAAAGGAAGATATAGAAAAGGGGGCCGGCCGGTGGCGCACTACTACAGTGCGCCGCTTGGGAGCGCGGCAGCGGGAGGGTTCGGATCCCACGTACAGACCGAGGTGCGGGTGCAACACCGAGGGTTGCGATCCTGTTGCCGGTCACGAAAAAAGACAAAAAGGAAAAAAAAAAAAAAGAAAAGGGAACAAACCCTAAGCAAAGGAAATGTACATACTGACAGAAGAAATTGCTTCTGTCTTAGTTCTTCCCCAACAGAAAGACCAGAGAAACAGTGGTAAGACCAAGAATAAAGATGATCTGTATACTCTGTCTCCAATTTTCCCTTTCTAGTGACTCTCAGGGGTTTCTTATAGCATTCCTGAAAAAGCTTAAAGTATTAGAGCCAGATTCCAGCCATACAGAGGCGCAGTAGGGAGACTAGAGTTTACTTTTTTCTGGGGCCGGCCCAGTGGCTCACTCGGGAGAGTGCGGTGCTGATAACACCAAGGCCCCGGGTTCGGATCCCATATAGGGATGGCCGGTTTGCTCACTGGCTGAGCGTGGTGCTGACAACACCAAGTCAAGGGTTAAGATCCCCTTACCGGTCATCTTTATAAAAAAAAAAAAAAAAGAGTTTACTTTTTTCTGTGTTATTTTTACCTTAAAACCTGTGCATGGAAATTTTTTTTTTTTTTCCTTTTTCTCTTTTTTACTGACCGGTAACGGGATCGCAACACTCGGTGTCGCGCCCGTACCAGGGACCAGCAACGGGATCGCAACGCTCGGTGTCGCTCCCGTACCAGGGACCGGCAACGGGATCGCAACCCTCAGTGTTGCGCCCGCACCGGGCTCAGCCAGTGAGCAGGAACCGGTCTCCACATGGGATCCGAACCCTTGACGGGAGCGCCGCCACGCTCTCAAGCAGCGCACTCTCCAGCGTGCCACCGGGCCGGCCCAGCATGGAAATTTTAAAGGGTCTTGCAAGGATCTACCACATTCCAAGAAGGTTTCCAAGTTAAATTATAAATGCCTGATATTCAAGAAAGCAAAAATGTCTTGGCATTTATTGTAAATGCAGAAGATTCATTATTACAGGCGTCTACTTTCATTTTATTTAATGAAAAAGGTGATGAGGTTGGAAAAAGAAATGTGTTACTTTAAATGAAAAAAAGCTGTTAATGCAAAATCTTAAATTACTAATCCATCTGAAAGTTATTATGTAACATCTCAGGAATTTTCATTTAAAACATTTTTTAAAGGTAGTCATACTGCAAAAGGAATTTTCACTGTCATTGAGTTTACTAAGCATTAGTACATAGTAGCTCTTCAGGGCAGGGACCTCATTTATTAATATTTTAAGTATTATGCAAGACTGTATAAATCCATTTAAGTAGGCTAAGAAACACTCTAAGTATCAAGTTTTATTTAATTTTGCTTTTGTTGTCACTATTTTAAAAAATAAAATCATTTCCCACCTGTTGTCTCTGGGGGAATTTACACAAAGGAAAAAAAAAAAAAAGAATCAGTGTATGAGCATTCTGGGACTCTTGACAGTGATGATTTGCAAAAGTCAGAGCCAACTGCAGAGAATGGATACAGTACCCAAGTCTCAGCTTCTAGACTAGTTTTCAAGGCCAGGAAGATGTGTGCGTATGCGTGTGTTGTGGGGAGGAAGGTGGATTATAGGTAGAGTGGTGGTCATGCAATAAATTATCCCAGAACCAGGGGCTGGCCAGTTAGCTCAGTTGGTTAGAGTGTGGTGGTATCACACCAAGGTCAAGGGTTCAGATCCCTGAACCAGCCTGCCACAAAACAATAATAATAATAATAACAACAACAACAACAACAATAATAATAATAAATATAGTGTTATCCCAGAACTGGAGTTCTATTGCAGAGATGTCCAGCAGTTTGGATTATGAATGCATGTGTTGCTCTCTCTGAGTGTCTCTGTTCAAGCACTACATTTAACCTAGACTGTGAAGTCTCCCCTGTGAAGGGGAAGAGGATTCCAATACTTGAATCTCATTTTCTTGGTCTATGGATTGCTATCATACTTACTTGTCAGAGGAAATCAGTCAGTGTATTGAGTGCCTTTGCATACGCAAGACACTATGTTCAGTTATTATTTAGTCACTATAGACTCAGAGTTGGTACTTTGCCAATGTGATAAATGCTAGATTTAAAGAGCTAAGGGATCATCGCCTGCTTTATTATAACTTTTATGTTGTTTTCAGATGTGTTGCATTTTTCTTGGAACCTAAGTAATTACATTCTTGTAAGAGGTTCTACTTTTGGCGGTAGATTGCTGGCATTTGACTGTATCTACCTATGTGTGCATAATCAGCTATATCTTCAGACTGCTGTGGATTGCTGTGGATTGGCTTCTGAATGGTATCAGTACCTCCTGTTTTTTACAGATAAATTTTATGTTCGAGTCATACTCCAAAATGACATTTTCTTTAACCAACCACTGTTATAATATCTCTGAGAGTTAGAAACCCCCCACCATCTGTTTGTTCTGCCCTCCTATAACTTTTAAGTAGATTTCATTCTAGCTAAAGACGTATTAAAGATCCTGGGATCATTAGGAATCATGGCATTCCTAGGATCTGGATATTATTCCCTTTCTTTATCCTTACGTGTATTCATGGATTTTACACCTGACTGATGTACTATTTGTTGAATTCTAGATTAATAAGAGGCACAGTGGTAGCAGTAGAACATGCCTCAGAGGCTGGTCCTTTTCTTTTTCGTCAGTGTGTGTGTTCTGTTACTATTAAAATCTGGCCCTGATTTCTCTTTCACTAGAGATTTTTAAATAAGACAAGAAAAAATGGAACTTTTCTTTTTTTTAATTAAAATCTGGCCCTGATTTCTCTTTCACTAGAGATTTTTAAATAAGACAAGAAAAAATGGAACTTTTCTTTTTTTAAATTTTTTATTTTATTTATTTATTAAAGATGACCGGTAAGGGGATCTAAACCCTTGACTTGGTGTTGTCAGCACCACGCTCACCCAGTGAGCTAACCAGCCATCCCTATATGGGGTCCAAACCCAGGGCTTTGGTGTTAGCACCACACTCTCCCGAGTGAGCCACAGGCCGGCCCAAACTTTTCTTTTTTTTAAACACTTTTAGCCAAGCACAGTTTATGAGAAAAATCATTAATAAGAAATAAAGCTTCTTCTGGCACCAGGTGTTCTCATCTATACCACTAGATTTACAGTGGTATTATGACCTAGAACTTGAAAAGAAGGATGAAAGTCTTATATTTAGAGCCCTTTGCACTCTGGCAGGAAAGGATGTAGGACTAGGTTAGATACAGAAAAGGTATTTCCTTTAAATGTTCTCCCTGCAACTCAGCTACTACTTTCACTTCCCCCACAGATGGAGTCCCCTGTTTCCACACCAGCGGTGCTGCCACTGCACCTTTTGGTGCCAGTGGTCAATAATGACATCTCATCTCCCTGTGAGCAGATCATGGTTCGTACCCGATCGGTTGGGATCAACACATGTGATGTGGCTCTAGCCACTGAGCCAGAGTGCTTGGGCCCCTGTGAACCTGGAACCAGTGTCAACCTCGAAGGTATCGTGTGGCAGGAAACAGAAGATGGTAAGTGTTATATGTGGCTTTCCCATCCCTTCTCAACCTGCTTCTGCAAGGAAGCCAATAAGGGCTTACTGTTGTAAATATTGCCAAATATTTATTAAGAGTCTCAAGTGTCCACAGTCTTTTGGCAATACAGAGGATTTTAGCAGACTTCTTAGCAAAATCTCCCAGCTTCTAAAGATTTCACACAGCAGTTTTTAAGATGAATTATCTCCCTTTCATAGTTATTCAACAGCATTGGCCCTGGTACTTAAGGAGACATTTGTTAGGTGCTGGCCCGGTAATTCAAACTGTGTCTGTACTCGCCATACCCCTTCTGTCATCTTATACGAGAGATTTAGATTATAGATGAAATTTTTGGTCAGGCTTGAAAAGAGAAAGTAATAAAATGGCAGTTGAGGGAGTCAAGGGAATGAACAGTCACTCTTAAAATGACTTAATGTCGGTTCATTGAATATGCAGCTCTTGCCTTTTCTAACACCTGGAGGTATAACCAGCTCCTTCTTCCCACTGGTTGCCTCATTGCCCAGCCACCTACGCCACTTCCTGCATCTGTCACTTAGTACAGATTTAATAGGCCTAGGCAACAGGGAAATGTTTACATGGTCTTGTTTTCAGGTATTCACTAAGCAGTTGGCTCACGGTAGGTTGTTGCCGCCCAAGGCTACCATCCAGATTTCTTATATGTTCCATTTGCCCTCGAGAACAGAATCTCTTCTGTTTTGGAAGTTCATAAACCTGAAAAAATGGAATAGGAGTGCAAAGAGACTTTACCAGGTATTTCAGGCCCCTTGGTAACATCTGATGGCAATTTGATTTCAATACATTCTTTTTATAAAGAAACTAAGTCCTCGTCAAAATATGTGTGGTTAGGGCCGGCCCATGGCTCACTCGGTAGAGTGCGGTGCTGATAACACCAAGGCCACGGGTTCGGATCCCATATAGGGATGGCCGGTTTGCTCACTGGCTGAGCGTGATGCTGACAACACCAAGCCAAGGGTTGAGATCCCCTTACCGGTCATCTTTAAAAAAAAAAAAAAAATATGTGTGGTTAGAGAGGCTGGGCCTCAGAGTCCTATCATGTCTCTACATCAGTAACCAGACTTTGAAAGCATCCTCCCTCAGAGGAGTTCAGAGACCCAGACGAGCATAGCTAATTATCTCTGATTATCACAGAGCTATCTAGTCAGTCTACCTGTAGAAATTCAGGCATTTCATTATGGTCATTCTAATAAAAGTCTGTTCCCTTGAATATTTTATTGTCATTCAGTATGTATTTAAAGTCCACCGTCCAGGGCCGGCCCGTGGCTCACTCGGTAGAGTGCGGTGCTGATAATACCAAGGCCACGGGTTCGGATCCCATATAGGGATGGCCGGTTTGCTCACTGGCTGAGCGTG